TCTACGATCGGTAGAGCTTCTGGAAAATCTTCTGCTGCCCAAGGTCAAGATCATGGAACATCGTTACGACTATATAGTTACAACGATTGTCTAGATAGTTACGACTAAAATAATTCTGAAAAATGACAACATGCTACAAATCTGAAAACCCCAGAACAATTAACTTGGCATTGCCAAATTTGAAATCAAGTTTTCAAAATATAATTATAGTTGTAACAGAATATTGTAGGACAATTACCGTAAATCCTCGAATAAGCCCCCTGGGGGCTAATATATTTTTGGATGGAGGCCTATTCGACGGGAGGCTTACACGAGGGGGGACTTATAACATTATTGTAGACATTAAGAAGACATTATTAAACACCTCGTTTATTTTAGTAGGAATTTCTTTATGAGCATTTTATTAATGACTACCAAAAGTATGAATTTGTTGTGGTAATTCAATAAAACACCATATAGGCAACCTCAGATGCCAACAATCATCAAATAGAGGGGGGGGGGGTCCAATTCGAGAATTTACGGTAGCAGTGGGGGCTTATTTGAGGAGGGGCTTATTGACAATTTGTAGCTCTAGGGTGGGGGCTTATTCGAGAGGGGGGACGATTCGAGGATTTACGGTATTGGTTCTTTTTTATTTAGTTTATTTGGTTTTTAGGCAATTGACAGATCCTAAAGGGGCTTAAGCCATCTTTCATTAAAATTTAACAAACAGTGAGTGAGATAGCAACATGCATATTGATTGGCTAATATTGATTGGCAGATAGCTTGAACCACTTTAATAACTGTCGTTTGCCTTAAAAATAAACAAAAAGTCGTCCGTTATAGGAACTACCACGGGTTAGATTGTGAAATTTTAGAAACCACTTTGCACCTACCAGAACAATCATGTAAAATTCAATGAAGGTACCTCTTATAATGCATATCAAAAGACCTAATAGCAACTGCAATTAGAGACATGAGTCACATCAGGTTTTAAAAAAAAATATTTTACATGATAGGTTTTTTTTGACGGGAAGAATACCAGTGAAACTGAGAGTATACCTGTTAAACTAGTAATATAAAACTTCCATATACTCAACATCCCTTAGGAAGTACACTCAAAACTTGTATAACGGAGAGCTATTTCCCTATGATCCGAAACAAAAAGATATATCTTAAATGTTTGATACAGAGGACTCGTTCTCGAAAATACATTATAAATCGATAGCAATATTACCTTGCAGCCTCTAAACCTTTTGAACGGCAAATTCATGATTATGTAAGGAAGATTTGTAGGTTTACTTTTAAATGACTCATCAAAGGATTGTTTAGAAGCTATGAGCATATGAATTCAGCAAAGATCCAGCTAAAATGCTTGTCAAAAGTCTAGGTACACTAATGTCAGTTTTCAAAGGCGAATTCAGCCATTCCCCTTCCCCCTTTTGGACAATGTTGGTATACTACAAAACGTAGAGGATTAGGAAGAACGTTTTTTTCTGCGACTTCTATGATATTTTTCCAAGTTATCAACATTGTTTCAGGGAGAAGTGGGTGCGGAAATAGGAGTATCCGGGAAAAGAATTGAAAAATATGAAAACACAACTCAAATTGCTTGGTCTTCAATGTACTTTTGGCAATGATTGTATCTATCGAGGGGCAATTCACTCTTGCAAATAGCGTTCGAGATTTTACCTAAAACAAAAGGATTTCTGGGGATTTTCAGATAAAACAATAGGATTTTCACTAAAGGTGTACGAGATTTTCTTGGAGTGATTTGCCCCTCGGTATCTAATACACCGACATCAAAACGGTTGAAATAAGCAGTTCATACAATACATTGGCTCAAACTGCACTAGCTATGACACAAGGCTCTGTCTTGGGAACCCTATTCTTTAACATTTACATCAACAACCTTTTATACGTAGTGAGCAGTGCAAACATCTGCAGATATGCGAATGATGCAGCTTTATGTACAACAGACTTTACTAGGCAATCACTTAATCAATCAGAGTTGATTCAATTTTCTCAATTTTTCCAAAACCTTCAGGTGATATTTATTATCTTTTAGCATCATTAGATTACCAGTAGACCATCTTATGTTACGTGTATCATTTCTAATTCTGTTTATGAACTTTTGCATTCCCATGATTGCCGAATAAAATTCCCAAGCACCAAGGCCGTGGTATGGAACAACGTCTATTGCTGGCTCCGTGTTGTCTGCGAGGTGAAAATCTGAAACAATAATAGATTAAACGAATCTTTAAGAAAAGTATAGAAAACCATATCACATTGATCACCAAATTCTTGTGCAAAGAATGGGCAAATGGTTTTAACATATCAAATTGCAGGAAAGAACTAAACTCGTTTTCTTAAAGTGTTTTGTTTCTACAAAAATTGCGTCTTTAAAGCACATTTTGCTTACATCAGCAAAAAGGAGAGTATTTAATTTCATATGAATGATTTTCTGATAGATCGACATAAATTTTAATTACTTATACAGAATTAAGGTCAGTATTCAAACAGAACTACCTGTTTACATGTTTGATATTTACTGCATCTTATCTTGGTAATAGATAAGCGTAGACGGCAGCAATTTTCGAAATATTTGTGTTTCTTGACGATTGGCTCACCGTTCCCGCTGAAAAAATATATTTTCGAAAACGATGTTACATTTCGTTTTTATATGGCATGTTACTTATTTTTATATAAAAAGCATAAGTTTTGCAATGCCATCAAAATCAATCACAGAGTAAAGGGCTTCCGTTGTCTATTTTTCAGCATGACCCCCCCTGTATCATCTTTCCTCCGGACGTAATGATTTTTGTAAATTAAAAACAAGAGAACAATACCGTTGCAACAACTGAATGCCTTACTCAGCAGGTCCTACATTGTGTGTTCTGTTGTTTCTGTTTGATCACAGGAGACATTTTGTGTGCAAATAATTAAAATTCAATAAAGTTATCAAGTTTGACGTCACAAAAAACTATTTATAGGATTTTCGAATGTTGACTACATAACATAAAAGAACACATGAAATACTTCAATATATGGAAAATCAGTAAAATTTGTCAAAAATTGGGTGAGCTATGGCTAATAGAAGATTTGGAGTTTGCTGACGGATTACTGTTATTTTGGCTCAGTTCATATAATTTTGAACTGAGACCAAATTACAGAAGGTTTGATGGGGCAAGAGCTTGTGTTCATCTGGTCATATCTCAGCCAATTCGTAATACCTTTAACTGATTTTGCATATTTAGAGGTATTTTCTGATGCTCTTTCAGGATATGGGTACAAATTTCAAAAATTCTAAAAGCATGTTTTTATGACGTCATCACTTGACAACTCTATTTGAAAGTACTGTGCCATAGATGAAATATTATTAAATAAAGAGGAATTCCTAAAAAAAAGTTGCGACGTACTACACTTAAATTTTGCAGAGAGTGGCACTTTTACGGTTTTTTAATGAGGACTCTTTCGATGCCATTAAGGCACTTACGTGCCTGTGACGTGACTATTTATCGCAGAAATTTTGATATTTTCTTTCAACGAGGAGATGAAGTGTTGTTTTGAGCAATTTACAGTATTATTTGTTCACTAAGCAATATCACAATAAACTTTACGAAATCGTCTTCGAAATTAGGCCCGTTGCAGTACAAAAGACGTGCAACCAAGACTTTTTAAAATGCTTTATCAATCAGGGAAATTACAGTTTTGGGCACACAAGTAGAAAGTGATTATCTCTGAGTTCAACTTTATAAAATTTACAAGTTTATGCTGAGAAAAACAATTTTTATTGCAATAATTTTACAGGTAATCCAATCATCACAGCTCACTTTTTGTGTTTTCGCAGTGGTCGGCATGGTTTGGAAATAAGAAAGTATAAAGCGTATTTTCTTATTTTCAATTTCATTACTATTCCTTGGTAAATTTTCTGTTATTCGCAGCCCAAACAGTAATCTTAAAACACTTATTTAACTTGCTTATTTAAAGGGCCTCTCCAGCCAAAAAAAGTTTTTTTTATTGACTAAAAAGTTAGCATCTGGTGCGTGTTGTTCTCCAGAAACGATGAACAACTAAAGGGTTCAGAATTGGTGTCTGAAATGCTCAAACTAAAAGCCGGTGGAACAGAACTGAGAGTACCATCACTTGCAGTGTTCAATTTGCGAATCGCCGTCAAAATTGTGTCACAGTGTCACCAAACCAAAAACTTTTTGTCGGTTAATTCAATTCAATTATCGGAATGCAAGAGCTTATATCTCACAAACTGTAAAAAAATATCGAAAAACAAATAACGAATTCGTGATCAGCAGGTTCAACTCCTTTAAATTAGCCAATAAAATGCAAGTGCAAAATTTGGCTGGAGAGGCCCTTTTACATCTATTTGAATTTCGGTTAACTAAAAAAATGTTGCGGCAGTGCTGCCATTTTGTGGCGGGCGGTGCAATACTTTTCGAACGTAACGAAAGTGTTAATGCAAGAAAATAAGCACAATTGTTATTGTTGTAATCGTTCTTTCTGCAAAAAGAGCACAGTTAAGCGACTCCGAATAGGGACTATGTTTCGCTGGATAGAGCGTTCCCTGATCCTTGAAGACCAGTCATTTGCTGATACAGTCAAGAAACTCCTTGACGTGTATGGGCAGATGTTAATTGATTATTCTATCCAGATTCCGTTGTTATGAACATTAAACTGATTGGAATTAGCCATTTTAAAAACCTGGCTATGAATTATGTCGGGGTAACTAGAACGTTGAATCTATAACATTTGGCATGTGTTGCCCTCTTTAATACTTTTGAAGAACCAAAAACTTACTAAGTCATTAATATTTTGGAAAGTACTTTCCTCATACGAAAACTTTTTCCTGAAAACAAAACTTGTTTTAATAAAAAGATTAATTTCCTTTTCCCCATTTCCTTTTTTGATACCATTCCCCCAGGCACTTTTGTCTCTGGCATTAACCTTCTTAATCTTACGGGTGTCGTAAAACAAGAATGCGAAGAAAAGTGTAAATAAAAGAAACGTTGGATTTTATTCGTTTTATCAAGAATTAAACAAGTTAAGTATTCTCATTTGACTGGTATCTACACCATAAATTACCCTAATACTTTCGCAAACTGCTAAGCTACAAAACGTGAAAAACAAACGAACATGCCCGAGTTTGACAGATGAACAGACGATACCACGCAACCGAAATCCTTTAGAGAAAATAGAAAAGCACATTTATGCATAATATCAAAAGAAAAACAACGTCGACTACAGGTAACAGATAGTCCAGGAGTTAAATGGAAGAAGTGAAATGGTGAGTGATGTGAGGCGGCAAAAGAGTTATTTCAATTGAATCAACTTTGGTGCACCGTCAAAACTCTCGATGATTGTTTCCATTGTCAGCTTAACAGTAAAACAAACCAAGCCTGTACAAGATCAACGTTGACCTAGTTACTGCATAGCCAACAGTTGCAAAACACTTTGGATTGAAACGAAGAATTGTATGAAGTTGAGCAGAGGATGCAAAACAGATTTGACGGCAAAACGGAACTCGACTGTGATCTTCTAAACCAGGGCTAATAAATGACTTACATCTACGCAAATCTCAATAGATACTAATCGACAGATAAAAAGTTCACTCGTAAGACAAAAGAAAAACTAATTTCAGATAAATAATAAAAATTTAGTTACCCTATGTTACAAGAAGCTTATCAAGGGGAACCGTAGAGTTTTGTGCAAGAAGACGAGTAAAAATTCTAAAATGTTAAATTATACAAAGAAATACAATGCAAATAAAACAACTAGATCTAAAATATCTACTGGTTTCGTGCAAACAGCTACCATTTTAAAAAGGCCTCTCTTTCTCTTTGGAACACTGATCGGAAGTCACATAACAGCTCATCACGTTGTAAAGAAGGTAAGTTCAAAACAGTAAAGGAATAGCATTCGATTGAAAGTTGCATAGCTAAATAACGGAGATTGATGCTCTTCAGGTATATTCGAGAAAGAGGAGCCTTTAGGTATAATCTTGTCCTTAAGCAATAAAAACTTGGCTCGATTCAGTATTAAAATTAAACTTAAGATGCATAGCATGCTTAGCTGACAATCAGCACAACATGTCACGCTTAGAAACAAAATACCGAAGACATTACAAGGTGTTCTTTGGTTACAACTCAAGAAAATTAATAAAAACGATGCGTAATTTGAAAATTATCATCTTCGACACGGCTATCCTATGACGTCATGTACTTCTTAGACAATAAAGAAGACATAAAGTTACCATTCACTTTACGCAGAGTCACTATGCTAAAAGTTTCAAAGTTCAAAGGACAAATGTCTACAGACTAGAGGTCAGTATCAAACCAGGCATGTCCACCTTGTTGTGGTTGCTGCTGCTGCTGCTGTTGTTGCTGCTGCTGCTGCATGTACGCAAAGTTTGGATCATACTGTTGCTGGTGGTACTGAGGGGCAGGCTGGGGTGTCTGTGATGCAGGGGTGTACAATTCATCTTGGTAGGTCTGGGCAGTCAGAATATCAGCCATCTGCGTATCTCCAGGCTACGGAAAAAAGGAGAGCGAAAACGCATTAGAGCAGATAATGAATTTGCCGATTGTCAAGTAGTTCTGCCTTCATTTGAACGTTATAAAATAAGCCGGAAAGGTCCTTGCAGAACCAAAGACACTCGCCATTTGCAAGCTAACAGATATAACTAAAAATTCCTGGGAGTTTAAGGCTACTCTGGACATATTCTACACAGCATAAGAAAAACAGGCGACCCCCGGCTTTAAATATCCTTTCGCTGAGATGAAAGTTTCATAAATGTACAATAGTCTATGCGACCACATGCTGACAATTACGAAATAGAACGGACCGACTTGAAAGGACAATTCTGATGGGCAGGCCACGACATGCGCCTTCACAACTGATTTGGCTCTATATAGCCAGGGCAAAACCGGTTTAAACCGGCAAAACTGGAATATATTTTACAGTGGGGGCAATATGAGTATTCAGGACGCACGTCCACGATATATAAATTAAATATATCTGTCATTAAAAATGCGTAATAAAATGAGGTCTTAGTGCTGTTTAAGCCCAATCTCCAGTGTGAAAAAAATCAGCGAAAGGCGAAAAAGTTCGCGCGAAATACGTCTTAGGCATGCGCAGTGATCTTTTGCTGGGATTTCTCGTGAAGAATTTCTCAGCGAAAAATGCTAAAATGAGTTTAACTTTTTTCGCTTTTCGCTTGCGAAATCCTTCAACAGCCAACACATTCCGTATTCCTTTGTCACGCTTCCAAACTTTACATTCCAATGTCGTGAGGTCAACAATAGCATTCAAAGGAATTTGTTCACGTGAAGTTTTTCGCAGCGAAATTTCGCAATACTTTGTCTCACTGGAGATTGGGCTTTAAAGCGCGAAGAAATGTTATCAAAACGGTTTTTGTTGTAGGAGGATTACAAATACAGATATTTTAGACAAATAACTAAATTTATCATCGAGTCAATGGGTTTATGAAATTAACTCTTTAAATATCTGTATTATTATATTATTATTTTTAACAAGAACGAAAAATTAACAAGGAAGGAAACTTGAAAAACAATTTCAATAAATGGCGGTTCATTATGGCAGATAAAACTTCCAATTCAACAAATATTAATGCAGTTACTTACTTCCCACGGCATATCATCACGGAATAGGGAGCTGGTCAGTTCCACAGATAATCTTTTCTTGTAGTCTTGTGACTTATCTTCTGACATCCTGAACAAAACAGCTGCTGCATATGCCGCAATGCCTTCGTTTCTAGAGTGCAGGAGCTCTGTCAGTATCTGCGTGGCACCTTCTCTTTCGATAGCATCAGCACCGTCCTTGTCTTGGGCCAACTCACAGAGAACACCAGCAGCAACCCTCACTACGTTCTCAACGTCTGAATACAGCAACTATTACAGAAACAATACAGCTAGGTTATAAAAACAGAAAAAACGGCCTAAATAGGCATTATATACCCTTAAAAATAAGAAAATGCGTGCCAAATACCATCTTGTTGGCATCAATTTGGAACATTAAATTAAAGTGTTTGTTTGAAGCTACTGACAAAGTGAATGGATATTTTTAAAACAAAACGAATTCAAATCAACATAGATACAAATATTGTACGTACTTCAACAAAGGTAGGGATGCAGTTCAATCCACGTATGATATTTCTGTTATGGGCCTCTCTTGCAAGAATGTGCAATGCTCCAACGGTTCCTTCAACTATTTCCTCCATTCGTACACCGTCTTGCATGCTCTGTGTTCCTGGACCACGACGTTTGATGTCTATAAAAAATAAGTATGTACCAAAAATGAATTCTGAGCTGATAAACAGTTGGCCCTTGCAGCACAGTCAATCACTACTTTCGATACAAATACATACATTTAAATGCTCAAAGAAGGCAAGCCATTGTGAACGTGTGAACAGGCAGCAAATCAGATTATTCAATTCATGCGCGCATCATGTATAGATGTAAACAAATAAAAAGGCAGCCATTCTCTACCTTGGTAGGCTTTCATCAGCAACTGAACTAGCCTAGGGAGACCTCCTTGTTCTCTAATTGGAGAGTGATTTGCTGGGCACAATGCCAAGTTACGAAGCAATCCAATGACTGCTTTGATTAGAGGCCATCTTGACGGTGGGTTTAACAATTTGATCAAAACTGGCAATCCAAAGTGTAGGCGGACAGCATTCTGTGCCACTTCAGCATCTGGGTGACGGCTTGTCAGATGACGTAATGCACAGACAGCAGGCTCAGTAATTTCCTCTCGATCACCAGCTTGCAAACAGGTCCTCACAAGCGCCTCAATTCCACCAACTTGGCAGCAGACTTGCTGTTAAGAGAAAAAGGATATATGTGATAAATTGGCCACTTTAGACACATGTTTGTCATCATTCGCATAATATTATATTATGCCAGTTTTACAGCAGGTTTTAAACTTGAAGTTCTAAACAAAGATAAAGAAGAGGGCGGCCTGCAGATGAAGTTTATTAAAACGGGCCCACCTAACAAGTAATGGCGTTAGGTTACCTTGTTTCGTGGGTTGTTGCATGTCAAGTTTGATAATATTCCGGCTGCACAGGTAACAACGTTGATGTCATTGCAAGAAAGAAGCTGAACGAGCATTTGAAGCAGTCCATCCAAGCCATCCTGCTTTGTGGCAACGTCAGACAAGTTCCTTAGGGTCCAAAGACAGTTTTGAACAAGTCTGTTGCTTTGATGTGAAAGATGGTTGGCAAGAGCCTGCATGCCTCCAGCCTGAAAAATAATACAACTAAGTATGTGCTGTAATGTTTTATCAATGCGAATTTGAGGGGTCAAAGATTAACTATTTGTACATGAGACTATCCATATATTTCTCTGTGAGAAAAAAATTTCCCCATATTAGGAAAGTTACTAATACTTTGCAGAGACCAAATATTCTACCCATTTCAAACAATAATGATTGCTTTCCCCTCTTAGGGCAAAGCAAAATGGCATGCATTAACAACGACATTACCTCGACAATAGCCGGTTTGTTGCTGGAACATACAGACAGCACTTTGAGCACCCTGGAAGTTGTGTACAATAGTTTCTCATAGGTGTAGCTCTTCATAATGCGTACCAACTCAGCAGGCCCACCAGATGCAAGGATGATCAGCTTGCTTTCTTGGTTACCATAAGCAAGAATTTGCAAACAGTCTAAATAGAAACATGGAAGATTTACAATTTCTTTTCAGTCTTAAAAAACAAAGGCTTGTTGAGTAAATACAAATACATATAAATATAGAAATAAGTTGTGTTTTGCTGTAATGCGAAATACAGAGCAGAAAGAGAAGTGCTTGGTTATTAGAAATTAGGCAGAAATTAGACATAAAATATTTAGTATATAAATCACCTGTCACAATTGCAAGGAATTTCACATTTGTTCTTTGCAAAAGAGCAACCATCTTCTGAAGGCCACCTGCCAATCTGACTGCCATCTTAGCACCCTCTTGGTGTAGCAGAAGGTTATGTAGTGTTGTAATTGCGTAGAAGAGAACAGCTTCAATTGGGGAGCTCAATAAACGAACCAAAGCTGGAATGCCACCAGATTTAAAAATCGCCAGTAAGCCTTGCCTGAAAGAGAATTCAACATCATAACGTTTTGGAATAAGCACTAAATATACAATGTATAATTACCTGGTTTTTATTAACACTAGATATCAAAATAAAATATAAATATTTGCTGATGAGTCCATCACAATCATAGTGATCTACCTTTATTCATTCTACAAAATTTCCTAACTATCCATCTAATGTAACGTACCTGTGGTGAGATAGGTTATGTAGAGCTCCAACTGCACACTTGACAGTTTCTGTATCGTTGGAGCTAGTTGAGCATCTAACCAAAGCAGCTACAATGTTTGGGTTGTTCATAATAGCATGCCTGCTTGCCTCCTTCTTTGACAACTGGTGAGCCATAACCGCTGCTTGCTTCACAGTAGCCTAAAAAATTCCTCTATGATAAGACAAGGTTCTCAACATTGATATCATGATAGTAAATTCTAGGCTCTATGTTGAATACTTAAACTAGTTGAATTTTCTTTGAGGTCAATAAAGCTAAAAATTTAAAACTATCTACATAACCTGCTGTTTCTTTATATAAAAGTATATAATTTAATTATCCAAGAATTACCATATATATTGACATACACATATTAAAATGATTGTTTAAAAAAAAGCAGCAGTGGCAGTATAAAAATTTGCTATTCTTCTTGAATATATATATACATTTCGTTCTCTTGGTAGAGGATGAGACTTTTCATTTTCTTTCTTAAACACTTACACATACATAAAATTTGCAAATACATACAGGATTAGGATCACCAAGAAGTCTAACAAGTTCAGGAATGGCTTTTGTTGCAACATCAGCATCATCCTGTAAAAAAAGTTAAATGAATAAAAGCACAAGCTTTTCAAATAGGGTAGGGCCAGACACTGCATATGCATTTTCTAGGTGTGGCAAGGAATTGTAAGCAAATAATTGTTAGCTGCAGAACACTACATACCTGGTAGTTGATTAAATCAACCACAGCATTTTTCAACAGCTGTGATGGTTCGGCAAGTCGCTGAACTGCAGTTGGGTTGCCAGGATCTAGCTGTGTTGAAGGTATTTCCATTGCTTCATCCACTGTCTCAGGAAACATGGCAGCTCTCACACGGTAGCTAATTGAAAAATGAAGAAGTTAAATCGTTTCAAAAAATTGATCAGCTAACTGGATTAAGTGATAATGGCATAAAGGAAAAAACTGAAACAGAGAAGTGATGCTAAAATCAAAATACAAGGAAAACAAAACCAAGACAGGATAAGAGTAACTGCTGGACTTGTGAGATTAATAAGCACAATTATACCTTTCAAATAAATGTGCAGATCATATATAAACAGAATATCTGAAGATGCAATAGAATCATTGCTCTGTCACTAAAAACAGTCGGGAACCAACAAATATATAATGTATTGCAACAAACCTTCTGGTTGAATTGAACTGGTCATTCATAGCATCCATATGCTCACTTCCAAAGCCAGTTTCCCACTCAAATGTATACTGTGTCCCCATGTCTTCATCATCAGGAATACCTCCTTTGACTGAAGGTGCAGCAGTAGTGTATCCAGATTGGATACCAGAATCCACATAGCCACCTTGTGCCCACATGGCTGTCTGTTGTTCCTTGCTCATTTGTCCTGTGAATTGTAAGAAGATTAAGATTTTAGTCTACAAATAAGTAAAGTTGCCTAAAACTACAAACAACATCAAATAAGATATAAAGACAAAACTCAAATATAAAAAGCAGTAATTTGACAAAAATTACAGTTTGGGTGAAAGATTTGACTGTGAAGGTCTTTTTATTTTTTGTTTGCTGGAGATCTTGTCATCAAGAGGACCTATTACAAAACTTTATATATATATAAATTCTTTTAGGTGGATTAATGGCTTCTGTTGTCATTTACTGTTTGTAGAACAGTTTTTTAAAAAGCATTTATAAAGTATTCAGCCTGGCTATACCTTTTCCTGGACAAAAATTAATGCAGATGTGAAGAAGAAATTGATATGCATCTCCTACAATTTTGATGCATTGTAGTATTTTATCTTATTACCCCTGACTTATGTTACAACTGGATAGTTCATTTGAATGAAAAGACAGACAAATGTTGTGATAGTATGTCTATAGCTAATAATATTTTATTCGTTTCTCCTTGCTTATTCCAACAATCAATCAGTTTTGGAAGTTGTTTGTCAATTATATATAATTAGTGTGTGGCAATATTCATTGGCTATTTCCAGTTGAACATCCATATCAAACTTTAAAACTTGGCCATCTCTTTCAACTGCAACAAAACCACCTGCAAGAAGTTCTTCCTTGCTTTCACTTAATTTGAGTCAACAGAGATACAGAAAGTCATACTTCTCACTAACTTCCATCCCAGATATAATAGTAAAATCTACATTGTTGCCAAATGTTGTTTGAATTGTTTGGTACCAAAACTGCACTGTTAGTAGCTATAAACAATTTCCGAGATTGATCTGGTGTACGAAAAGCTGAGTACAAAATTTTTCAAAAAGCTGTTCCACAGACAGTCAATAACAACATAAACAATAAGTTCGATCAAATCTTGCAAAACCTAACAATCAGAACTCCACCAAAAAACAAAAAAGAAGGTTGCACAGTCAAATCCTTCACCCCAAAACTATTGCCATAATCCACCTGAGATTGAGGCATACAACTTGTTAGAGCAAAAAACAGTTTTTAAAAAATACTACTTAAACAGTAAAAACAGGTTATGGAGCAAAAATAAACATCTAATTTTTAAACTAACCTTCCTAGCATCAAGAAAAATTCACTTACCTGGCACATTATATCCCTGCTGGCCTTGCTTTGCCATCATATGCTTCTGATTTTGCATTTCTTGCTCAACAGCTCTAAGCTGAACTTGAAGTTGCATTCTGTCAAAACATATTATCATCATCCACCGATAAACAAAAATTTTAAGCTAGATTGAACAATTTCTAAAAACTTGTGTTTTGAGGGCCAAAAAGATCCTGTAAAACAATACACATGCTGCTTCCATAAAAATGCTGAAGTTTGTGACTTTGTAACTCATCAATAATAGGTTTTTATTATAAACTAAAAAACAAAAACAGATCGCAGAAAAATAGCTTACTTGGGCAAACACGGTAAAATACACCATGCTTTAAATGTTGGGGCATGATAAAATAAACAGAAATTTCAGTTCGAAGAAGCTGGCAATTTTCTCCTCTTACACAAATAAGAGATCTTTATTCAACAAATGAAATATAATATGCAAAACAATAATTCATATAAGACTGTGTGTGGGGGGAGGGGGGAGTGCCAAGGCATATTTGGAACAAAGTTACCATAGAGTCTGTGTCAAACTTATACTCCTTATTCTCTCAATTTAAGATTTTCTGCTACAGCTATTGATTAAAGAAATACTTAAAAAGCAGAGACATACTTTTCAGGAGGATTTCTCTGAATCATATCTATCAGTTTTTGCCTTCTATCTTCGAGCAACCTGAAATCCTTTAATGGGGGAAGAAAGTTTCTATTAAAAACATGAAAGATTATATTCAGATCAATAAAATAGCTTAAACGTATAAATAATAACTTCAAGTATATTGTTACACAGAGGTAAAAAATAATGGTATAGTCACATTTTACAGAAACATTGAAAGTGAGACAAGATAAGACAGGAAATTTATCAATGCTTGACTTAAAGAGACATATATATCTTATATATATCTGCTATCTAAAATATCTGACCATGTGGAGACAACACAGAGAACAAAATTTTGCTGTACTTTACAAAATGAGAATCAAGTTTATCAAAACAACTATGTTTAGAGACAACACAGATACCAGAAATGTTGTAAAAAACATACCCTTTCATGGGTTTGCTCGTAAGGCTGGTACTGATACTTCATGCGTTCTGCAGAAAAAATGGATAAATGATCAAATTTAGTATGAACAAATATTAATATATGCGTATATAATTCAAAAATATAAATCATCAGTATCAAAGAATTCTTGAGAACTCTTTGTAATAATATTGTGCCCATGATAGATATAATGTGCAAAGGCTCTCTGCTGACAACAAAGTTGATGACTAGTAAGACAAACTGTTTTATTTTATGAAGTGTAAAGGTGAAAAATGGATAAATCTAACTAAACAGAAAAAAGTTAAAAATTAGAGAGGAAAGGGTATTTTCAAGTATTTGAGAAAATATCAAATTTGTCTGATTTTACAAGCCAATATAAGTTTAATTGCGTTATTTGCAGATATCAGTTCAAGATAAGTTCAACAAGTATATACAAGTTCAAGAATAGCAAAAGTTATGCTACTCACGTGCAGCATCATCCATCATAGCCATTTTGGATGACTTGACTTATTAATACACATTTATTTGTTGATAGCTGGAACAGCTAAGTGAAAATAATAAAATCAATTCATATCCCAGTTATGTACAAATGGCAAAGAAAGCTCTCAGTTTTGTAAATATCATCTGATCTGCACAATATGTTGTAAAGAACTTCAAAGTTCTTCTGAATAATGTATAAGTAATGGTCACTCAAAAATATTCCTACTGAGATCACAATTGAGTTTCTGTCATTAAGTCATTTTATGTGAATAATTGAAAAGCATTCATTCATAAAGGAAAATCTATCACAATTGCAGGTATTAATATGGTGAATTTGTTAAATTGAGCTCAAAATTGGTATTATTCCATCTTAACATGATCCTATTGTTTACCAGGAAATTCAAAAGTTTGATGCAAGCTTGGGCACACATTAGTTAGTACACCATCTTTGTTTCAAAAAATTACATTACACAACTAAGATACTCAAACGTAAGGTTTAGGTAACAAATAAAAATTCATATAAATCAAATAATTTGACAATCTTCAGATGGGTAAAATCTGCTTTACCACACCTTTGTTCTTGTATAAAGTGGAAACACTGATGACAACATAAAGGTATGCATAATTGAAAAATGAGGCTGATAAGCCAAGACAATTAAACCATACAGCAGCAGTCAATCTTAACCTCCGGCCTACAGACCAACTTTGGCCATCAACAAGATTTCATCAGGTCCGCCACATGCTTTTACCTCAAAGATTTTTTTAGCTAACACTTTCATAATTTTGAATTTGATTTATCTCTTTTTTCTTTTGTTCGCTCTGATATCTTCTTTTTCTGTGCAGAAAATTTTAATATGCATTTTGTAGACACTTATGGTCTGAAAAGGAGTGCCAAAATAGGAAATGCTTTATTTAAAAATTTATCATTTTTATTCACTGTTTTTTATTCATTTCTCTTCTCCATCTTTTACACTGTGATGCTAAGATATTCTAAAACCTTGCAAGGTCCTTCCTTTTCATGTCAACCTTTAAACAGATACAACTAGAGAACCTAGTTGTAAAAAATCTTATGAATATTGACTTGAAATATCTCCACCTGAATTCTATTTGAAGTGAGTTTCTGGCCATTCCTAGATTAATAAAAGCTAAACATTTTCCAAGCTACAAACATCACATTTTGGCCTTTCTTTAAAAATCACTGTAGAGTGCAGTCTCTGGATTGACTGCGCTTCAAGTTGACCTGACAAGAGACTTACAAAGATAAATTTTCTAGCCTTAAAATAGCATAGAACCATCTTTTGACTCAACCTGGTACAAGAAACACAAAGTTTTTCAGGTTTATGTACTATGCTAGAGATAAGATAGGCAGGCAAAAAATAACAGGCCTGTCTTTTCTCTCTCTAACATAGCCTGGACAGTATGAGATCTGAATTTCATTTTGAGCAGCTCTTCAACACAAGGAATTTAAATGTTGAGAACCCAGTGGCCCCCCCCCCCAAGAAAATCTACATCTTTTTCTGGCACGGCACTCAAAATACTTAAGAACTTAGTAAAAAGTACCTCAATTTATTTGGCATTTTATAACAGATTGCTTAGAACCTTTGTAACTAACATGTTATTAATGTTATATTTGTTTGCCTTATAGTTTTTCTTCAAATTTTATATTGCAAACTCAAAAGAGTATTATTTACCAACTTCTTTCATTTCTTGAAATGTTTTGCTTTTCAGTCTGAAATCAAGCGACTGCAGATGTTTCATTCCGACAGACATTAGTTTATTACCATAAGCTTTGGCTCTCTTAGTACAGCTTAATCCTCAAATAGCAGACACTTTTGTATTGAGACCATCAATCAGTTATGCCAGCCTACTGGTTTCGTATATTTGATAAAACCTTGCAAGACTTTGGAAATTATTTTAAATTCTTTACCTTTAATTTTTACCTTAATTTTTGCTTGACCTAATTATTTTGGAAACTTACATCCAATGGAGGGGAGGAAATTTCAAAAAAGCAATGATGGCACATCATTTATAATCAGCTATGGATGGCATGTATTTTATAAACTTTATCTTTAATTCTTTTAAATTGTTTACAGTAAATAAAAAAAATTGAAAAAGAACCAATCCCTTCTGATTTACTTGACACTGTAAATTTTGAAGATTTTAAATGACATTAGCAGAAAAATTTGCTTACAAATTGTTAAAATTCATCAACTCAAAGGTCATGCTTTCATAATTTAGTTTCCCGATGCCTTACATTCTCAATTATTTTGTAAACTGCGAGAACAAACAGCTAAAATTTTTGATGTACTTCTGAGATGTACCAAAGCCTTTCCAATTTATTGATTAAACAATCATCCCCTATTTTTAAAAACCAACCTTTAAGAAACTAAACAATGTGTATTTTGCAACTTATGAGCAACTCACTTGCAACTTAATTTTTTTTATTTTATTTAGCAACTTAGGTATAAAATTGAAGAAATTTCCATACTAATAGCTTACTGTTGTCTTTTCTAAAGACTTTCACTTGATTGATTTAACTGAATGAGATTCACTTGTTGGCATGAAGTGAACCCTAGTTCGGTTAGGGAACAACAAAGCATGGACTTCATCCAAGCAGAGCTACAAGATCCAGGTTTGTAACAGATCCATTTGCTGTTGTCTGTCTCACAGCTTATTGCTGCAGCCATAAACAATTAAGTAACCAGTGCAAGTAGAGTATATAGTTCATTAGACTGTAAAAGCATAATCTATTGAGGTAACTACCTGACTTTAATAAAATACCAAATGTGAATATTTCTGCTTTTTCACTTGATTGATAGGCTGGTGTGTCAAATAACAATAAGCTTGGCCTATTTGCAAATCTGATAGAATTCTTGTTAGTAACTAAAAACACCCATTTGGTTTGCTTTAACTAATTCTTTCAAAAAGAGAAATAGGAGTTTTGACATTTAAGTATCACAAATCCTTTTGTCTTTTTCGTTTTTTTCTTGTTTTGAGGACAACATTTTTGCTTAAATTAGCCTTAAAACTTGACTTAACACTGGATTTCACAAAAAACAATGCCTTCGTCCAAAATCATTTTTATCAAGAATTTATGTAAAGAAGTAAACAACAAAAATTTTGGCTTCAAAGGCTAAAATAAGTTATAAGTGATTAGAATATTTACCAGGGGAAACTATTCACCTTCATTGAGAAAGATTGAAAACAATTTGTTAAATTTATTGGTTAAGAAACAAAAGAGCATTAGTAAGATAAGAAGTGTGGCATATTGCATAAGGTTACAGAGTTGCTCTGGGCTCTTCATCTATTAAGGTGAGGATTGAATAGTATCCGAGAACTGAAATGAGGGAAAGAAGATCTTAATTGAAAGTGGCAGTAAAAGGCCTTGGGGCAGACCATGATTACAATGGCGAGAAATATGCAAAAGCAAGACCTTTCACAGAGAAGATTTTCTAGACAGAAATAAGTGGAAGAGAGAGACCAGAGTAACCTTCCCTGCCCATACCGGGGAAAATAACCAGCTGTAAAGAATATTTCTGGCTCAAAAATTAACTCAAAAAAACACTTCATACTATTGACATAAATGGAACCAAGTTTCCTTTTTCCTAAATTCTCTTAATATCCAAAATATCATTTATCAAAATCGTCTAATGCTAATAATATCAATTTAAATATATATATACCATTTATCAGTTCTCTTGTCTACAAAAATTCTCTTTAAAACAAATGAAACTTTCCTTTTGCATGAACATGTTTTTATTTTAGCAATTTTTATGTCATATGAACCTACAGTGGCATACATTAAGTAAATGTAGTTGATGAGGTTGTAGCTAGGGCAATTGATGGGATGTTTGGATACTTTTTAAGCCTTGAAATTCATCTCTACCACAAATAGAATTGTTGTTAAATTCAACTGCATGAATCCGAGGAACAAATCTTTAAATTTGTCGATCTCTGATAAAAATGCATCATCACAAGAACCGCCCTTTCCACAGGAAATGACAATAATGGTTCTCGTGACACATCCTATAGTCGAAGAAGAAACTACAATGTTGTTTATCCCAAAATACTCTCCCGCGGAACTTTCCACTACCAATGTAATTCTACTCAACATAGAAAAATAATGCCACTGAAATGAGACAAAATTGGTGAAGACTGTGTTCATTTCAACTCAAGGCAAAATATCAAGACCAGCTTTACTAGTGCAAGTGCCTAATCCCTTTACCGGGTTGAAATCCAGTCTGGCGAAGATTACGTCAAAGTTGCTTCTTGTACAGGCCACGAGCCGCTGTTACCCCGACAAGCTGGCTCCATTTTCCCGACAAGATGACACAGCAGCTTTAAATATGTAAAACCACCGCCACTAACAAAAATTGGAATGATTCCAAACATAGGAAACCATGATTTTTTCCTTCCAAAAACATTTGGCGGTTGGACTAGCCGGTGAACATTTGAAATGCTCTATTCAAAATCGAGACTTCCATCCATGCTTAAACTAGGCTACAAATAATGCTGAAATGTTAAATAAGGCCAACCCAAGACTTTTCATGTTCACTAAAGGCTTTGGTAAATAAATACAGTGTCCTTCAAAGTACAAATAGGCCTTCGTGAGAGCAGAAAGTCGATTGATTCTACCACATTTAATTTCATTACAGCTCCAGAATATTTCCAACTTACCTATCAGAAAAACAGCTTTATTCCTCGGGTTTGGCGCACGCGAAATTCTAGCGAGTTTCAGTCATATCTACAGCATGACCGCAACCCATGAAATTGTGCTATCCTCAAAACTCGGATCAAATATGGCGACGATCCTTGCCTTTGAGGATGATGAAAAGCTTTGTTTTGGGCATCTCAGGCGCGTCTCACCCCCCGCGATGAACTGTCAATCATCCACATTCAACAGTTGTTAGTCATAAATCCGAAATGGTGAAAAAAGCATCGTTCACATCAACCAATGAGCAAGAGGGGTGGAAACTTCAGCAAGATAATGCCCGCAAGAAGGTTTCTTAATATTCTGAAGTTTTTATCAAATAAATCAAATAAAAATGGCTGTTTAAATCTTATTAAAACTGCATATTTGTGACGTAACATAAGGGGTCGGGTTTTCAGGTTAACCAAACAGAACAGTGCAGGATGATTGTTTAGCCTGTGATTCATCAAGCAATGCATCGATAACGAGGCCCTTTGGGAAATGCATATTGGTTTTTCAGGAAACCGTGTAAGCCAATAATAGAGGAATATGCATTGACAATCGTGTTGATGCATCATGCCAATGACGTAAACATCTTGTTGATTTCACCAACAATGATTGCACTGGACTTCCATTCATTTACAACCATAGAATGCAGTGATAAAAACACATACAGTCAGAGTGGTCAGTGAGAATAAAGAGTTCGAGCCACACCTAAACCCAGGCCCACCGAGAGACGGGGACAAGGGTGCGATTGCCCCTGGCCCCATAAGCAAAGAAAGGCCTGCTGGTAGTTATCTAGGCCTTTTTAATACAAACCCTTAAACATAGGATAATAATTTTAAGAAAAACAAATCATGTCTGAATTCGGAAAAGTTAACAATGCTTTAAAATTTTGAATTGAAATAAAAAAGAAAATTCTTTGTATTTTAAATTCGTGTTAAAATTTTTTTCGGGCTATTGCTTTTGGTAAGAAGGAGCATACGTAGTACTGGACGTACCCCTTGATCCGTTGTGGCACTCGGCAGCCGTGCCTAAACCACACATTGTTCAACTGCTTTTTAAAGAAATTTGCAATTGTACATATTCCAATTCTTGACGGTAATCGAATAGCTATTTTAGAAACTCCAGGCAGGCTATATAAATTCTCATAGAAACATTTCCCTTTCATTTACACATGCCTAGGCGCAATAATTGTCGCTAGGTTGCTGCAGAATTTTTAACCCCCGCCCAACATTTATAAAGTTCGAGTACTCATGTACCACAATTAGATGCCTTCAGCTGGCAATGTAGGAAATTTTTCTGGGTGTACCCATTAAATGTGGATTTTTGGTGATTGTCATTTTAAAAACACATTTTTTACAAGATTTTGCTGATTTTTTGTTGATATCAGTGCTAAAAGTTTTTTTAAGACCCTTTAAATAACAAATGCTAAAGAGCTCCTTTTTGGAAACACAAAAATATAAGATGTGGTGCTCTAAGCACACGGAGCTCTTCTGCCTGTTCTTTCAATCTATTTATTAAAATGATTTTCGAACAGTTTTTCAAGGTTGAGGTGGATTAATACTACGATTATTCAATTTTTTTCAACTTTGGGTTTAGTTTATTACGACCGTTTCTTGCAAAATGAAATTAGTGTATAAGATGAATTTGGTTACTAGATGAAAATAAATATTTTGGAGAAACAATATGGGAATGATGTAATTTTTTTCGGTTGGCCCTCTTTAAAAAAATTTGCATATTTTCAGAAAAGGATGCAATGGGGATCAAAGCCAAATAATGTTATCATGGAATTGGAAGATAGAAGATTTCCCCACTACTCCTATCCTTTCTTTTAGTTCTGCACTCGATATTATATTGCTCTGGTACCCATGTTAAGAAAAGAACCATTGAATTTTCTAAAAGCAGTTTCAAACTCTAGCTTAAATAAATTTTCAGCAATACTAGAAATTAATTACAAGAGTACTTTTCCAAAATAAATCTTCTAATTACAGTGTTATACTACCAACTATTGATCAATATCAGTGGCGAATTTCTGCTAAATCACGACAAGCACTTTTATTAAGAAAATGACATTGTCTCGGCTCGACATTTTATTATTTCTTATTTCTATTACATAAATTCATAAAGAGAATATCAAAATAATTTCTCTAAACCCCCTAAAATAGCGAAAAACCTGGCATTAAAACATTGCTATCATGACATGCCTGCCTACAATGTATTTATTAATGAAAAGCGTCTTTGGAATTTATCAAGATAATAATATTTCATTTTATTTTCAAATATCCGGAGGTTTAATTAAGTATTCATTCCTTCCCTTAATAAGGTTCCTTAATGATGCCCCTTAATAATGTATGCCCTAATTCGAAGTTCAATTCTAGGAATGCATTTTTTTAGCATAGAGAAATCTTGCTTGAGAAAGTAAATTTCAAAATACGACCCTTAAGACAAAAGAAAGAAAATGTTTTGCTATTTGGCTGTGTATCCAAATCATGTGTCGTAACATTTTCAGTACAAAAACCCAAAATTAAGGCACATTCAAAGTAATAACAACTGTAAATATTTTCCAAAGAGACAAATTCTTCTTTGCAAGAAGGTAACCAAGGCAAGGTTGCCAAGGTAGAGACTTTTTTTAACAAAAACACCACTTTAAAGTAAATTTCACACGTATCGTTAATACAACCTCAAGGAGAGCTCACTCATGGTCGTCACCTACAAGTTTAGTCTCTTGCAAAAAAAGCTTTAATTGCTATCTAAATAACACTCATGTATCGGCGTAGTAAGGAGGCGTCACCGTGATGGTCAGCAAGTTATTTTGAATAAAGGAGTTTGAGCAAAAAACGCGTAACTTGGGCAGAAATGTTTGTTTTATAAACACCACGGGCGTTCGATGTTTCTAGGGACGTCATTTGTGTAAAGAACCCCCACCCCCCACTGCCTTCTTTGATATACATGATCGCCAAAGTGCAAGCTGGCGTTGCAAACTGAAGCCTTTTTTCTCTCCTTTTGGATCGTTTGGCCTCCACGGTCTACAACGTCATATCCCACAATTTCAAATGCCTGCAGCACTAGTAATGGACGAATAAGTAAATTGCTAATAGTTGATAAATAGACGCTTCTCTGTATAAGATTTGTATGCTACTATGTCTTTGTCTATTTTTTCGCTGACAATTTTCTTACAATTTTAGAAAACCTCATTTTACAGGGCCATTGTACTTTCTCGAAATTCTCTTCCAAATCACCATTTCAAAGAAGGACAGCTTGAAATGGCATTGAATTCCAAGTAAGACCTACAGCTCTAACTTGTACCAAATTCAACCATCAAATCCATTTGCATTGTATAATGATACTTTGAAGTCTTTTTGCACATTTACTTGACCTTTATTTTTATGTTTCACATAGATGCTTTTAAAAAAATATTCTTTTAATTTAATTACTGTAAGTCATAGAGTCTTGGCACAAATACTGGTTCACACGAATTCATATGCAATGCAATCACAAGATAACTGTATATTATATGCCATGATTAAAAAAAGAATGAAGTTCTTTCGACAAGAAAACAAAGCTGTGCAATTTTGCTATTATCTAAATTCTTTATACAAGCAATTTTCAGAATTCTTTATTTTTCAAGAATAGCTATTAGATTCAACTCAGTCCTAAATATGAAACATACCTTTTAAATGTGAAGCTCCCATTCGCAAAAGTTGGTTTTCTGACTGTAGAATAAAAGCTCCATTGAAGCAAGCTGCCCATTCATTACTAGAACTTCTCGTGCAAAAGCTAACTTTTTTTATTGATTACTGCATAAAAACGTTGAAAAATTCAGCCACTTATATCGAGTGAAATGTCTCTCAAGGGATATGTAATTGCCAGTGCTAACAAGGATAGGTGATAATAAGGTTCTAGACGTGGGAAAATTTTGAAGAACGGGTACCTCATTAATTCCCAAGATTATCAATAACCACACTTGTTTGTTTTGTATAATGTCAGCAAAACAACAAATGTTTCCTGTTCTTGTCTTCTGGTGCCTTTTCTCCTTAAAGCTTTAGACTTTTTTCAATTAAAACAACAAAGGGTTAACACATTGATGTAAAATGTTTACACGTTGCAAATTAGTACTTTGTACAGAAAGATATCAAGTGTAGTTGGTTATACAATGATAAAAACCTATTGTTAGTTTTTCTGGTGCAAATAACATACACTTGACCCAAAATGCAATCTCAATCGTCATTAGTATTCATTATTAAAGCTTTATACTATTCAATATGTGATAAGGCAACGTTTTAAAAGACTGTCAAAAAAATTTGTGCACTATACAAAAACCTGTTCATATTCTCAATTGCATCCCCATTTCTTTGTTCAAACAATGTTTTGTTGCAATTTTGGTGTTTCAAGTAGGCCTGATTTGTCACGTATCTGTTAGCTGACACTACAACAACGATTTTTTATGGAGACAGGGCAGCCTAATGCAGCTTTTAACTGAAAATGTTGAATTTGTAGTAAAAAGCTTAAGCTACTGGGCTTTTAAAGACATTTGAACAGGGGTTTCATCTTAAACCAACAACCTTTTGTGACCTACAAACTTTCTAATAATCACGTAGCTTCATTTTCAGATATGGTAATTTTTCCTAACATTAAAAACTCTTTTGGAACCACTCTACATCCAAAATTGAGAAAGAAGCAGCCCATTATATAGGGTAATAATTAGCTGTGCAAGATGTTAATATCAAATTAAGTATTTGCATCACATGTTGATAATCAACTTGCTTGTGATGAAAAAAGATTTAGAGTTTGAATCTGATAACATTGAGGCAGGGTGTGGTGTTTTATTTATGCTATAAGAATAAGAGCTTTTTTAATGATTAAGAATTCAAATTACTGTAAAAATATAAAATCAAGATCGCATCAAAATATAACTTTGTCTGAATCTCCGTAAAAGTGTATGGAATTGATGATTAATAATTAAAGTTATCGTGAAATAAATTTAAGAAAAGCATTCCTTACACTGTGCTACAATAAGCTAGGATACTAAAGTATAACAGATCTAATTTAAAACAAACTTTGACCAGGTTTATCAAACCACAAAGGCTGCAAAAGAAAATTATTTATAAAATATGATCCGAATGGGTCACAAAAAGCATGAAAAACAACTTTAATTGAAAAGCATTCACAAATAATAACACGTATTTTGCGATAAATAAAGGTACAACGTAATGAAAAAGACCTGTTTGGAACTTCAAACTGAAATGAAACAAATAATATTTTTTGTGAAAAAGTGTTTTAGAAACGTCTCTTGAAAATTTCGGTTTAGAAGGAAATTATAATTGATGTAAAATACATCAGAGAAAAAACACTTAAATGAAATTTCGCTTTTAGATTTATTAACTTTGCTAGCAAACAGTAGCGCAGAAAAAAGTGCATAAATTAAAATAAAGTTTGAAAACACGAGATTGATATCTGTTGGAATATAATTTAGGTCGAACTATGCAATTCTCTTATTTGAATTGTTGTATATAGTTTAAAATTGCAGTCAAAGACAGTTGCATTGGCATATAGCCTGTGTAAAATTCATATAAAGCTCTATGGAATTGAAAGGTAATAATGTCGCCGTGCAAAAAATAAAAATATTTCGACATCATACATCTGTGACGGGATTTTTCAAATTAGCTTTTGCAATCATTTAGAACTTTTGCAATCATGTCTTTAATTGCATAATGTTTATAAAATGCGCTGATTATTGTTCTATATAAAAAACATTAAAGAGCTTAAACTTCTGTGAAATTATCAAATTTTTCAAACACGATACATAAAATTTGTTCATGTAAAATTTACAGATTTAATAAAAACTTTGTAATAAAAAGTTAGATTACCTTTAAGGTCTTTACATGGAGTGCTGATATTTAAAAACTAAAGAAATATCGAGTTATAAATCATCATTTGACTCCAACATAGAAGAATTGTCCTAAATAACACAGCTTGCATTTAACTACTGTTTTTTGGTTTCAGCTATTCTACAACTACAAGTCTTTCAAGATTTAATGTATCAGTTTAGTTGTTTTCACAAAATAAAGTTGTTAAAATCGCAGTATTCAAAATCATCGAGCTTAAAATTTAAGAGCTAAATAGGAAATAGCTCTTGGTTAGTATTCTTTAAAATGACTTTGGCATTATCAATAAACAAGGAATCGCACATGCCTAAGCAGAGCTACGGGATTCAAAAATCTGCTGTTATAGGGTGGCATACTTTGTGTACCTCTACTTGGTGGCGTATCTCACTTTCTTTTGGCATTGCAGTTGAGACTCACCCCAAAGCATGAAGTGAGCTCAACACCGTAAATATATTCATCCTAAATTTAGTTAGAATTTTTGGCCCGTTTCATCCAATACATTATTTAAGAAGTGCAATCATACACCTCACCTTCAGAAGGCAGTGTAAATTTGGATCATCTTTTGAATAAGGTTATAATGCATTGCATTAGATATTCATTGAATCAGGATCTATCAAATATCTCATTTCTTTTACAACATATATTGTAAATGCAACGTTTTCATTATCTCATATATTCCAACAGAGTTAAGTTCCGGGTCGCTTCATCAGTAAATAAAAACTGTATAATATTTCTATTTTGAATTGATCATTGAATTGTTTTTATTCGAGTTTATCAGCACAATGTTGAGGATTTTTTATCACAACTACTTCAAATCTTGTAACTTGCCAACTTTGGAATGCTTGGCTCCCTTTTTCGCCCCAGAATCTTGTAGCCTTGCTTCTTTCATTCTTTCAAGCTACAAGCTTTATTTGCTTCTTTCATCCCTTTTATTTTCTCCCTTCTTTTCCTTGTATGGGCCTTGCTGTAGGCTCTTCAGGCCTATCCCAAATGTAATCAACTAAAACTGTTAATTATATGATCATTAATTCAACGTTATTAGAAAAATAAATTGATAATCAATGAAAAAAGAATACTAGAAAATATATTAATTGGATGTAATACATATCTTAGAAGCATATATATCTCAGAAGCTTAGAAGCTTAGAAGAAGAATACATATCTTAGAAGTTTTTTTGTGTCGAATATTTCTTAAAAAGATTAACTTTTATTGGATTCATTTTTAACTGTAAATATTTAGGGAATTGGCATTAAGGCATAGGACACAGGACACATTAATAACAGCAGTTTTAACTCGTTGAAGTGTATATCCGGTATAAATATTCGTCTTATTATTATTATTATACCAAATAGCAGAGGGCCTAGCTCCAATCCTTGCGGGATGATATATTTGACATAGAGTCAGCTGTCACATGTTGGTTTTTTATATGTGCTTTTTCCCAAGTTAAAGTAATTTAATTTCATTCGAATATTAAGAAGGTCAATTTTATACACATGAAATTTTCTTATAAAAAAGTTGAAGATGAGAGAGTAATTTGCCATTGACCGCCCGAAAAACCTTCTTCTATATTACGCCTTCATCGTCTAAACATTTCCTGACTTGTTCAACTACCCATGTGAAACTTGCTGAAAATCAAGATGTGTTTTGCTATTTCTTTTATTTCTATTCAAACGCCAATCTTAATTTCATAATTTTGGTTATTGATCAGGTTTCAGAATGACAAATGAATTAAAGGGAGAACTGAAGCATTTAACGACTATGAAATGACAGCTTACTACTGATTTTTGTATGTCACTTGAGCTTTTTCGAGCTTTAGCGTTTAAGTCCTGCTCGAAAAATGACATAATAATTTTGTTAACTTTGCTACTATGCAAATTCTGCTACTTCTTGCTACTTTTTGAAATCATCATTGATTCACTAAATTAGGAGATTTGTCACTTTAGACTGAACTTCAGATAAGAAAGCAAAGAGCAGGATTTTTTTGTCATCGATTAGCAACAATATTCCATAACTGAAATATTGTTGATACAGGCACCGCGGAGCGTTGAGAAGAGTGGGGGATCTAAAAAAAGTGGGGGGGGGGCTAAAACCGTATAAAAAGAGGCTTTTCTGGTAGTTTGGTACTTAATATTTGGCATATTTTGCAAAAAGTGGGGGGGCTAAAGCGCCCCCAGCCCCCCTGCTCCGCGGTGCCTGTGATAATGTTCCTTATATTCCTAGCTCTATTATTGAGTACAATATTTCTAGTTACTGGGCAAAATGCTTCGCAATAACCTAAGGAGTCAAACCAGTACTCCTAAGACCTTGAGTTTATAAATTTGTTTGTTTAATGGATTGTCGCTGACGTCATTTTTGCAGAACCTAACCGAAAGACTGACATATGTGTTTGCAAAAAGAATAGGTTCCCTTTTCAAATCTGGATGCAGAAATTGAAATCCGATTTAAAAAGGGCTTATAAATTTTGCCAAAGAATAACCTTGATGTTTGCTCACGACAAGCTGCAATGTTTTGGAAAAGTATTCGCTATCTTGAAGGCATTATTATGGCCCTTTGAAGTCATCCAATAATTTACCCAACATTCATCAAATATTTTCTCAAATGTTAGGCGTGAAAATGCAGAAATGCTCAAACAACCCAAAATTTTGCTCAAAAACTTCTGTCTGTTGGCTGCACATCATCATTTATCGATTCATTTTATTAATTTTCATCAAGATTCAAAAGAAGATGTGGCCCAGCGCTTCTCGTGGTGAACCAGGATGGTTAGTTTCTTAAGCAAGCTGAACGAAATTTCAACTGAACTTATGTATTCTTATGTGAACTCATGTTTAAACTGAAAGCTAGCAATTAGTAAATCATTGTTAAGCGCCTTAAAAATTTGCTGCGTTTAAGTCATATTTGTTATGTCGATTTCTTTCATTTAACATTTTAAGCAATTGATTTTTCCAGTAGGGAAGATGTTCCTCAGCAAACATTGAAAGAGGCAGTCACCATCACTAAAAAGATATGCTTCGTATAAAGCGTATCATTCAAAAGAAACAGGGTCGATGTTTTAAGGGTACAAGTAGCTCAACCTACGTTAAAAATTATCATTTCATATTTCATTTGTAAATATCTATAAAGGCTAAGAAGTTTCATTTGCCTGTTTTTCAAAATAAAAGAAAGCATTCTCCCCTTTCTTTGCGTTTATCACTTCCTTTTGTGTTTGCTGAGACTCTCCGAAACTATTTGGCCTGAACATCAGACTCCAGGCTACTAACTTTGCAGTAAAACTGTTTATCAATTTTCAGAAAAAATTCCAACCTCCCTATTTATTCTGACCCACCCCATCAATAAGGCACCTAAAAGAATGTGTCAAACTTTATGTACCTGCAAATGATACAAAAAACGGTAAAAAGGTATTTTTTCTACGGTGGCTAGTGAAAATTACATAATGCACTTGATGCAGGCATCGAGTGATACTTTCTCATTCAACATGAAAATGTATGTGCTCAACACAAATTGAGCGAAAATGCCACATCAAAGAAACAAAATTACAATTTATTCTAGCATTTGCTTTTGTTAAGATACTTTTTTGCAACGAATATCCTCCAAGACAATGGCATTTGACAAATTTCTTGTATCATTCATGCATAGTTTTTGTAAGATAAATACTGAATTCGGCCTATAGAAACGTTCGCATCGGGTCAAGTATTTTTTCCATGGCAATAGACGTGCATGCCTTTAATGTATGGTACATAAGGTATTTGTAATGCGTTTAAAAGCATTTAATACCAATTTGTCAAATTATATTTATCCTTAATCTTGTATGAAACAGTGAAATAAGCCTGGTCAAGTGGTTTCATGTCTTGAATGCGTATTAGAACAGAGAATACCACATTCTAAGCTTACAAAATTCTGCTGCACATCTTTGTATCAAACCACACGAATCAGAGGGTGATCCTCTGTACGTGACAAACTTTGCCTGCATTAGCTCAATGTCAGGTTTTCATAAGGATAGGGCATTAACTACTCGGGGGCGCAGCCAACAATTTTTTTGAATGGGTACAGGAACAATTTTTGCCTGGTGGTACGGTGTGGTGTACAGCATCCCTTTTCCCTAAGTTTTTCGAACAATGGTGTCCCTATATTAATTCGATCCTTCCTACAGTACTGCATAAGGAGTCGATGCGAAATGCAATGATGCAAAAGCATGTATTTCTCAAGATAAGATTTGAATAAGTAAGTAAATATTTTTGCAAACGATAATTTGGGGTTGCCAATTATCACAAAGTGTGAGATTTAGCCGTTTCCTAGGCACAGGAGTTTACGTAAGATTGACATCACTGCCCTGCGTAACGGAAAGAAGTCTGGCCGACAAAGAGCGTATTGGGTTCTCAAATGTAATCTCTGTTTGGATAAGAGGCTTTATAGATTAACTATAACGGAAAGGTACGTACACTGGCAATGTTGGTTTATACAACTTTTTTTCAAAAAGTCAAGATATATCTAATAAATGAAACAAAGTTAGAATGCGATGAATTGCATCTCAGATGAATTGAAAGTAGTTCAAATGCATTTTCATCAATTTAAAGGTATGCAATTATTTAACTAAAAAGTGAAAAAATGCAAACTTGTCATAATTCACTAAGACATTTCTAAATGGGTACTGATCCAACAGAATACGTGTTTTTGTTAAGGAAAAGAGGTTTTGCTCGAGCTGGTTATGTCATCGAAGATTAAAAGCCTTGGTTGACTTCTCTGAGAGCAATTCACGTATTAAGTGCGGCCAAATATTTGTCATTGAAATAAAGGTACTAAAATCATGAGATGGCATAATAGAAGAATTTCAAGTACAGCGAATTAAATAAGTTAACCCTTTCGTTAGTAACAAACTCTATGCAGCTGAGTCACGAGCCAAAGAGGTGCCATTGAAAGGGGGCTCAGGGCCCAGCCCTCATGTTTGGTTGGATGTATTCTTTGTTGGCAAATACTTATTATGCTATAGAATTTATATGAATGAGCAATTTCTTAACAGTCTTTTTGAGTCGGTGAATGGTTTGAATGATTTCATATACAAAACAGAAGAGAGTCTTTAACACAAAAGCAATTGTATTGTATGTAGTCTTGGGTGTGGCTTCTACAAGTTGCTAAAATCACAACCCCTCTGCCTACCTTTTAGGAAAGAGCCCAGTGTGTCCAGTACATATCGTGCAGGGTTGGGTCTGTTTTGCTACTCCACCGCCTATGAAACTATCGAAATATAGCAAGTTGGTTGGTAAAATCGTCTGAATGTCACTATGATTGGGACGGTCTGTCTCTGTGTATTATGCTACGACAAAACGTGCAAAAGGCCATTACCGTGTGCTAAGTCTCTTCAAAACGTGAGCGCATTTGGGCGTGGCTATTGGCTTGGTAGGGGTACAGTCAGATGAGCAGATGTGACAAACTAGCGACACGCCATTGAATGTTACGATTTTTCATTACTTGATTTCTGTGACCCAAAAAGACCAGGCATTGACTTGGAAAAGGTGTTTGTGCTCACTGGATTATCCCTATAAGAAATCAAAAATGATTTATGAATTTGCCAACAAATACCAAGCTTGTGAAAGTGTCGACCCATCAGCCCCCCTCCCCCCCCCCCTTCCAGTCCATTCTAGTTAAAGCTCAAAATAGTAAGGCTCAAAATTGCTGAAATTCTAGAAACAATTAAGAATAATCCAAGACTCGAACTTCATCTAGAATTAGATTTTTTGTTCATTGAGTTTTTTATAAAAGCAAAACAAATATCAGTTTCACGTTATATTTTTTGAAACAGATGTATCAGGCCTTGGAGTACTTAAACAAAACTCTTGCTGAATGCAGAGCTATTTTTGCAATTGGTACCGAAGATTGCTTAGGAACTGATGAAATAGACGGAGTTGATATGGTGTTGTAAGATTACGTTTTATGTTTTGGTTCTATATATACATAAATATTCTATATTTACGGCTAGCTCTATTCAGTTCTGTTCCGTTCTTGTTTTGTTCT